TTGGGTGGTTTTAGGGGCTTTGGGGTGATTTTTTGGGGGTTTGGATGGTTTAGGATGGGTTTGGGGTGATTTTGGGGTGATTTAAGCCAGGTTTGGGGCGGGTTTAAGGGGTTTTGGGTTGATTTAGGACGGGTTTGGAGTGGTTTTAGTGGGGTTTGGGGTGATTTTTTGGGGTTTGGGGTGATTTTTTGGGGTTTGGGGTGGTTTAAGCCAGGTTTGGGGTGAGTTTGGGTGGTTTTTGGTTGTTTTGGGGTGATTTTTTTTGTACTTTGGGGTGGTTTTGGCTGATTCCAGATGGGTTTGAGGGGTTTTGGGGTGGTTTTAGGGATGGTTTGGGGTGATTTTGGACCGCTTTGGGGCAATTTCGGATGGTTTTGGGGTGATTTTGGGATGATTTGGGGGTGTTTTTTATGGATTTGGGGTGATTTTGGGGTTCAGCTGGGTGGTTTTGGGTGGTTTTCGGGTGGTTTTTGGCCGATTTTGGGGTTTTTTTAGTGGTTTTAGGAGGGTGGAGGGTGGGTTTGGGTGGTTTGGGGATGGTTTAGGACGGATTTGGGTGATTTTGGGTGGGTTTGGGTGGTTTTGGAGGGTTTTTTTTTGGTGGGTTCGGGTGGTTTTTAATGAATTTGGGGGTTTTTTTTGGGGGGTGTGAATGGCTCTGGACTGGAGCAATCATGGAGAGGCCGAGAATGTTCCAGAAACGCCCCAAAACGTCACCAAAATCACCCCGAAAATACCCCAAAACTTCACCCAAAAAAACCGCTTCAAAAATACCCCAAAATCGCCCCAAAACCAACATCAAATCCACTTCAAAACTACCCGAAAATCTCGCCAAAAAAAAACTTCAAAACTGCACCAAAAATACCCCAAAATCCACATCAAAAATCCCCCGAAACTGCTGGAAAACAGCACCAAAAATACCCCAAATTACCCCCAAAAATTCCCCCCCAAAAATCCCCCCAAACCCTCATCAAAACCACCCCAAATTATCCCAAAACACCCCAAAAATACAAAAAAAAACCTTAAAAAATGGCCCCAAACTCCAGCAAAATCCCCCAAAACGATCCCAAAAACTCCCCAAAAGCCACACCTAAAATATCCCAAAATTCCCCCAAAAACTCGCTAAAACTGCACCAAAACAGCCCAAAATTACCCTAAAATCCCCAGAAAACACAAAAAACCCCAAAACCACCCCAAAATACCCTAAAGCTGCCCGAACCCCTCCTAAAAATCCCTTTAAAATGCCCAAAACCACCAAAAATTCTCCCCAAATCCCCCAAACCCAGCCCAAAATATCCTAAAAAAGCCCCAAAACCACTCGAATTCCCCCAAAATAACCCAAATAAACCCAAAATACCCCAAACCCACCCGAATCCCCCCAAAATAACCCCCAAATACCCCAAAACCGCCCCAAAATCACCCGAATCCCCCCCTACATTTCCCAAATATTCCCAAAATGCCCCAAAAACGACTCCAAACCCCCCCCAAATCCCGGGGGGGGGGGGGGGGG